ATCAGTGTAGACCGTTTTACAATAGTGCTGTTGCCTTACATGCTATTTTAAAACATACGTTTCATTTGAAATTGTCAGCAAATGTAGACTGCATATACAAATATCTAAAAAATAAAAATTGTTTTAAACTTAACGAGATGAAATCCTAGCAGTTAGTGTTCTCCTTACTGTATCTTTAGACATCGTTAGATCTATATGCTCACAATAATTATTATACACTCTCATCATTCTATTAATTGGTCCATTTTTACCATAATTCGTTCTGTGAGGTGACAGTTGAAATACATTTCGAGTTCTTAACATGCGTGATGGTACGTAAAAATTTAATCTTGCTAATATTTTTTCTGAATTTACGCGTTGTGAGATAATATCATTGACAAAGGAAATCATGGAAATTTCTCTTCGTTTCTTAAGTGTTTCAATGTTTATCAACATGCAACGGGACTCATAAGAAGGAAGGGGAAAAGAGGTCCAGTCTAGTTTCCTAAGAGCAAATAACAAAAACTGTTTTTGAACTGATTCCATACGATTTATATAAGTTTCATGGTATGGAGCCCAAACCACACTGCAGTATTCGAGAATTGATCTCACGTAAGCTATATAAAGTGTTTTGATGGTATATGGGTCTTTAAAATGATAACTAAATCTTTTTATGAATCCCAACATATTATTTGCTGGTTTCCTAGAGTACATGTAAAATCTAGAGTAGTGTTTTTTCTGGAATATGATATAATATTGCATTTTTTAACATTAATATCCAGCAGACTTTTAACGCACCAGTTGTAGAAAACATCAATTTCATTTTTAAAATGTAGCAAATCAGAATTGTCAAAGATTTCCATGTACAGTTTCATATCGTCAGCATATATGAGCACATTTAAACGATTTAACACAAACTTCACGTCATCCACAAATAAAATAAATAATAAAGGACCTAAATGAGATCCCTGTGGAACTCCCGAGGTAACATTAACTGGCGAAGATATTTTTCCTTTAAAGCGGACCATCTGTGTTCTTTCTGTCAAGTATGATCCAATCCATTTTAAAAGTGTACTTGTCATACCTAAACGTTTTAATTTAAAAAGAAGTAAGGGAATGTCTACTCTGTCAAAGGCCTTACTAAAGTCAGTGTATAAGGTTTCAACGGTATTACCTCTATCCATTGCTTCAATAGAAAAGTTTACAAATTCCAACAGATTAGTAGACGTTGACCGACCTTTAAAAAAACCATGTTGATTATTTGAAATGCGATGCTTAACCTGGTTAAATATTTTCTGGTTAACAATTGCTTCAAACATTTTAGGAATACATGACATAATTGCAATACCTCTATAGTTTTTAATATCTGACCGTTTGCCAGATTTAAATATTGGAACTAAAAATGATTTCTTCCAAATTTTTGGAAAATCACCTGTTTTGAGAGATAAATTGTAAAGCCAAAACAATGGTTTAACAAAACTTGTTGCTATTTTTTTCAATAAAAATGGAGGTATTTCATCAGGACCAGGTCCTTTGCCAGCATCGAGACTTTCAAAAGTCATAAAAATTTCTTTAACAGTGATATTTTTAACTGATACGTCATTTTCCCCTTCATGTAGGTAAGAAAAATAGTTCAAATCGAGAGCATTACTGGATTTCTTATATGTGTTTTGGAAAAAACGAGCAAATAGGTTACAAATATCCTCACTATCAGTGCTATCACACTCTTCAAACTGCATGCGTGATGGGAATGTACATGACTTCATTTTTTCGTTCGCGAAGTTAAAGAACGTTTTGGGATCTGATTTTATATTGTTCTCTACTCTTGAATTGTAATTCTCATATGCTGACGATATTTCTGCCTCAAGTGCTCCACAAATTTCAACGTATTTTTCTAAATTTTGTGACGTTTTAAACTTTTTATACGCCTTGTGTGCTTTTTGCTTCCTGTTTTTAATATTTCTGATTTCTTGTGTATACCACACAGGTCTTTCTCTATCTACACGAAACGAAAATCAATTATTTAATTCATGTGTTTCACTTATACATTTTTGCCAAAGCATCAGCCTTATACTTTCCATAAGACACACCACATAGGTCCTACTGGAATGCATAAAAGGTATGTGTGACTGCTTATACATTTCATTTGACACATGATCTTTATTAACTTTTTGCAAGGCGTCTGCTTATTAGTTGACTTATACAATTTATGAATAATCAGCAATGGAAATTTGCCAAAAGGTATAAGGAGATTTCTATCCGTGTACCGGGTGTCGATTCTATTGGCTAAATAAAATTACCAGAGTTTTTGGGGCTTTTCCAGAACTTGAATAGATGATTTACAAAGTATTGAATAATCTTTGAATTTTCCTCGGAATTATCTACACACTAATCGAGTCAGTACGGTTTTACCGAGTTTTTGAATTGCGGAACTGTTCGGTAAAAGTTTAAAAATCTGTGGAAAATTTATTAGTGAGAATATTTGTTGTGAACTTGTACATACTTAGTTCTGTTAACCCCATTTAATGAAAGAAAATAAAATTGGTCGATTTTATTGATTCCTTACGGATAACGGTCATTTGAATTTTTACCGACTTTTTCAGCAATTCAAAAACCCAGTAAAAAAATACTCCTCCCAAAAATACTCCTGTAAAAAAAAATTTAGTGTGTAGGGATTCACCTCAGTAAGAAACCCTTTGGAAAGATTCTCAAAAGTTTAATTGAATTCATTTCCTTTTGAATCTCTTTTCTTCCCTTGGAACTCTACTCACATTGAAAGTCTCCTAAGAATGACTTTGCAGCTTCCTTATATTTCTCCTCATAATTTGTTTCACAAACTCTACTGGAATTCTTTTCCCAATTCCTTGAAGATTTCCTGGAGTTATTCTCAGATTTAATTATAATCCTCCTTTTAGCATCCCCTATAAGTATTCTCTAAAAATGTATGGTCCGGATTTGTTTTCTCCCACAAACTTCATTCAATTATCCTCAGAATGCCCTTGACGTTTTCCTCTGAAGTTCATAGGAGATCTGCTCTTCATGAATGTATATGAGTATTAATTTAAATTATCTTTGATTTCAATTCAGGATTTTCTTGAAATTCTACCCAAAACTATCTCAACCTTCACATGAAATCTAAAATTTCTCAGACCTTCTGAGGGTCTAGTATACGAGAGGAGCGGATTCAAATCACCGGCTGTGCTAGGCTATGTTGTATTCCATCACACACCAACCAACCGGTGATTTCTAGCAACACTGTCAATGTAATCAAGGTAGGCGCTGCTCAATTGGCTCTGGCTTTGACAGTTCGTTTGGCCCAAAGCCATCCAGGCCGCTCTTCTACTATACTGTTTATTTATAGACTACATAGAGTAAATGTCGGCTTCGGCATCCATTGACTGTATTTGGCAACCAAAATATAAACAAGGTGTCACTGTATTTTCCCACTTCGCTGAACGTATTCACACGATTCCTTAGTTTTTCAGTTTCAATCTGATTCAGTTTTACGACGGAGTAATCCCGTTATACCATATTTTTCTTTAAATGAAATATGTGCACTAAAAAATGCAGCTGATTTCGAGTTGCCGATGATAGAACAGCTGGTTAACACGCAGTTCAAATTGAAAGGCTACCGAAAAAAAGAAACTGCCGACAATAGTCACACTCATCTTCGAAGTTTAGAGCGTTGTAAAAATGCTTTACAACAATTTCGGACAATAAAGCTCGATTCAAAGTAAATCTGGACGCACGGTTTAATACACCACCGCGCCCCTGGTGGTTGGAACAAAAAACCTTTGACAGACATTTGTTGATGTTTCATTGACGAAGAAATTGGTGAAAAGTTTTTCTCGATTGATCGGCGCATCCCGAAATTACTGATCATGGAACTTGATAAAAGGAAAATTAATTGTGCACAAACATCTAGAGAACCCTTCGTGGTCTGCCTCAAAAATAGCAAAAGTGTTAAAATTCCCAAAGTCAACGGTGAGTCTTGTAATCAAACGTTACAAGGATACTCTGAGTGTTGGACAAAAAGGTTTTGCGGTACGTGAAAAGCAACCCAGGTTTCCATACGTGATTTGGCAAAGAAATACGATTTCAACTTTTCCACCGTGCGTAACATCCTTTCAAAAGAAGGATATAAGTCTTTTTGTGCCAGTAAACATCCGAATCGCTCCCTGAAACAAAATTTAGTGGCCAAAAAGCGAGCACGATTATTATACGAACGAGTTTTGACGAAATTTGATGGCTGTATTGTAATGGATGACGAAACATATGTCAAAATGGATCGGTCGTGGGGATGTCCCTTCCAGGTATACATTTGTTATTGCTGATAAGCTTGCTCGGAAACTAATGATTTGGCAAGGAATCTGCCGTTGTGGCCTTAAAACCAAGGTTTTCATCACATCTCACACAATGACGACGAAGGTTTACATTAAAGAGCGTCTGAAAAAAACGGATTTTACCCTTCATTCGGCAACACAAGACTTACGTTATGTTTTGGCCGGATCTAGCCAGCTGCCACTACTCTAAGGAGGTACTAGAATGATATGCTACAAACAATGTTAATTTCTTCGCCAAAGAGATTAATCCTCCGTTTTGCCTTGAGTTCAGACCGATCGAAAAATATTGGGCAATTGTCAAGCGAAAACTTTGAGGATGTGGTAAAGAAGTGACAAATGCACAACAAATGCGTTTAAAGTGGAATAAGTTCGCCGCTACAGTGTCACCAGTGACTGTGCAGATCATGATGGCATCGATCACAAGTAAAGTGCGACAGTTCGTTCGAAACGGTGAAATGCAATAACTCGTTATATATCGTTTGAAAGCTGAATAAATACCCTTGTGTTTGACCTTTTGATCAACCGTGTATGTTGTTTAATTCTTGAGTTATGATCTCTCTTGCGTTTGTAAAATCCACAAGTATAAGTGCAGAGCTCGGGGTTAATTATAAATATTAGTGCAAGAAAATCTTTGAATTAACCCAAACAATAACCCATTTTTCTCTGTAAATCTTTCAGCTATAGTCACGGCGCCCCAGGTTGGTCCAGATCCGGCTTCCATCACCTGCCCATCCTGCCAGAAGCACATCGTTACCCGACTGGATTTCGAAACTTCGACCAAAACGCACATCTTTGCTGGACTGCTTTGCCTATTTATGTAAGTATTTTGATAGCACACTACAGAATTAAGAAGCCGGCAACGGTCTAGTGCCAATAGATTGCGTAACTGAGACCGAAGTTAAATAAAAGAAAGAAGTACAGAATTAAGCGTTGCATCGAAAGATCGTGATTCAGATTATGTTTTCCGAATTAACACATAATAGGAAATGTTGCAAAATATAGAGTGCAGTGCGTGTGTTAATATATATATATATATATAGGGGAAATGGATGTAATGTCGGCCTAATTGCCTCTAATTTGGGCCCATACATAAATTCAGAAATCGACTAAATTTTCAATAGCGACCAAAAATATCCATTAGTACCATCCCAATGATGCGTTCATTTTGATAATATTGAGAAATAGCAGATTTTTTAGTGATGGGCCCAATCTTAGATAGATAGGCCAACATTTCAGCCATTTCCCCTATAATAATATTATAATATTTGTTTATCGAGGCTGAAACAACGAAAACTGCTGTAACAACTTTCATAGCAAAGCCTAATGTGTTATCTACCAACTTTGCCAGCAAAGGTTGAATATTCAAAGTGGTTTTATTAAAGTTTGACTTTGTTTCATGCTCGAAAAAAAAAGTGAAGAATTTTAAAGTATTTGTTCTACGAACTTTCCATCCATATGATATAAAAATGTGTCGTCTACGGCATAATGTTCCTTATACTGTTCTATAAATTTCGTTCAAACATAGTGTTTGTGTAGATTCCATAGATTGAGCGATAAAAATCAGAAAAGAGGTTGTTATAGCTGAATTTCACAATACAACAGATCCAATACAAGTTTCAATTAGATTGACAGAACATAGTTGCATTGTTTTTCAATGACCGATGACTGTTACATTGATAGATTATTAGATTATTATTAGTTTAGATCGATTAGGTTTGTAGTGCTGCCATACTCCGGACAGAGGGGTGACGCTGCGTGTCTGAACCGATGCAGCTATTACCTGAAGCAGCCGTGGCCAGACAGAAACTGCTTTAGGTGGAAGTTGACTTCTCCGTGTTTTCTGTACACCCAGGTCGAAAGAATTGGTATTAGTCTATGTGTCCATGCACCGTTCACCACCGTGTTCTCCTGGCTTCTTTCCACCTGTAACACTCGCTTTCACCCACCAGTATGATGCCGATAGGGATCATTTCGATGATAACGCATACTGCTTCCGACGAGATGGTTCTGTACGCACTCACGACTCGCCTGGCCATGATCCGGAACGTACTGCTCAGTTTCCTTTGGTTCTACTTGGTTTCCAGCTCTCCATACCTCAGCCTTGACGACGACGCAATGGCAAGAACACACCTCTTGCTACTGATGTGACCAGAGTTGTTCGGCATGATCGCGCCTTCGAAGCCTTCTCACAGGCATACTCGATGTGGCTGTTGAAGTTTTGCCGGTCATCGATCATCACTCCCAGATATTTCAACACGCGCTGCGAGGCTATGGCGTGCTCCCCGACGGGGATTTCTGTGTTTTGGTGGGTTATCTGCAGAGTTGCGACCTATCACAATCACGATCATCAAACAGCTGATGGTACTAACGCTTTGTACATTCCTATCAATGTGCTCGTCGAAGCTCTCTCCATGACCATCCATCAAGTTGACGAAAGAAGTAAAAAGCAACTGGTGAATGTCGTCTTCGGTCATTCGTCGATCTGGTCATTCCCTACAATCACGACACTCATCTGTGCTCGTTTTGAAGCAGTTGCTACTTTGCTTGCTCATGTGTGAGTGTGTTGGTGAGTGAGCCCAACAGCTTCCGTTTGATGTTGCCTGATTTATTTGTAACTCACACAGTCACGCCTGCCGAGACAAACTTGGAATGCGTAGGCATTGTTTTCATTTCCGTCTGTCGTTTCGCTTCTTCTCATGATCGTACTGCAGAAGTCTTCACTGTTTTCGTTGTGCTTTTCATCATCAGCAGCGAGTGTAACGTTTTGCTTGTAAGCAGCGACCATTACTGGTGATTGTTGTTTGCCATGGCTCTACCATTCACTGCGTGACAAAACGTTCTGTCAGCGATAGTCGGTTGATGCGTAGACGAGTGTCACGTGAGTGTCATGATATTTTGCATCACTGGTTATCTGCAGCTTCGCTCCTTGCATCCAGTTACCAATCATGTCAATCGCCTCGGTCGCCAACATTTCCACCTCTTCCAACGATCTCAACTCCTTTGGGCAGCTTCAGCGTTAGCACGCCGCTGTACATCCCGTTCCAAAGTGTTTGTCCAAGGATGGAGCCTCCCGCTGTGATCCTAATCGATCTCTGTCCCATGTCTGTCTCATAGATCAGAACCCGGTTCTGGAAATAACTCCTCAGGATCCTGCACAGTAGGGTGGGGCTTATTTTTCAAAATCTTTCGGGGACACGTTTTCTCATGTGGAAAATGATTACTAGGGCCAAACGAACAACATATCCAAAAATGAGCGTTTTTCGTTAAGATTTAGAGAGAGAGTCCAATACATCGAACGAAGCTGATTTTCGAACAAGTCTAGTTAGTGTCCGTTTGGCGATATCTTTAACCATTTTCGAGATATACGGCATAGCAGGTTTGGACTTACACCCACAAATATGCTCTAGCGCAAACAGTATTCTTGGCAGTGCTACACAGAAAAAAAGTAGTTGAATATTACATCCAAATTGCTGCAACCAGGTCAATCCATCGGTTGTGTAATATAACGTTGTACGATGTACATCGATTTTGCGAACAAAATTACATCCATTGATGTAATATTGTATCTGATTTTTCTATTACACAATTAGTTCACATATCAGCTTGAATTACATTGATCGATATTACATTTTTTTTTATGTGTATATACAGTGAGCGTATGATTACGATACAGATCGAGCGAGAACGCGAGAGTGTGAGAGAGAGCGAGATAAGAGAGAGAGAGAATGATTGAATCTCGATGAACATTTCAAATGGTCCTATCTGCTTTGATCGATTCTCTTCATCGAATATCTCTTTTGATAACCACTGCTATGCAAACAGATTTCGCGCTAATTTTACAACATAGTTTGATAAAGGAGATTCTTATCTAGCATCCAACACGTCAAATACAATAGGGAAAGCTTTTACAGCTGAGCTATTAAGGGAAGAAAGCGAACAATGCAGATAGGACATTTTGAAATGCTTATCTAGAAATGTGTTCATTATATTTGTGTTAAATTTTATTAATCCTTAAAAACCAATTCTCGAATATGACCTCACTATGACGAATACTAATCAACAATAGTACTTTTCTTCAAGTCAGTAAGGTTTTTCTTGTTGAAGTTCACGTTTACAATAAGATTCTGAAAATTTTCGTTTTGAGTTACATTACGATTATAATCATGAATTTGACGGATAGCCCTTTCAGTAGGGTGGGGCTAATTTTTCAAAATCTTTCGGGGACACGTTTTCTCATGTGGAAAATGATTAATATGGCCAAATGAGGAACATATCAGGCATAACATTTGATAACGGCACAAAAGCATTTGTAAACAAACTTTCTAAGGCCCTTTACACGCGAACCAAAGTACGCTCACGCAAACCAACAACATTATCGGATAGGGGCAACTATCACCTTTCCGAAAGTGGTATTAGTTTGCGTGAGTGTACTTTGGTTCGCGTGTAAAGGGCCTTAAAAAGTTTGTTTACAAATGCTTTTGTGCCGTTATCAAATGTTATGCCCGATATCCAAAACTGAGCATTTTCATTAAAATTTAGAGGTGGCGCCAGAGGCCTAGCCCAAAAGAAATTTTTTTGCACACTTCCCAAGTAACAATTTCGGTTTTATAAGGGTTCTGTAGACCATGATTTAGACTAGTAGCATGCTTTAAAACCTCCATAAAACTTGAAATGTTACTTGGGTTGGTATCTAAGCGAGGGACTAGTTGGGCTTGCTGTATTCGATGAAAGTTTTCCCAACATAGAGCGACAGAATCTCGCACTGCCGATTCGATTGAAACCAGGAGGTAAGAAACCACAGAGAAAGCGGGATCTACCATTCAAAGACTTGTTGAAAGCAACTTTTTCACGTTAAGCAACAGCAAACACAGCAAAATTGTTTGATACACTAGGTATGAACAGCAGTTTCCTCACTGTCCCTGTATCGTCCTGGATCAAGAATAAAGCCCATATTCATGGTATGAACATTGTCGATAATTTGAAAGTCGTAAACGACCACGCTGAAAGTGTTATCCGGCAAATTCATGATTATAATCGTAATGTAACTCAAAACGAAGAAAGTTTCCAGAATCTTATTGTAAACGTTAACTTCCACAAGAAAAACCTAACTGACTTGAAGAAAAGTACTATTTTTGATAAGTATTCGTCATACTGAGGTCATATTCGAGAATTGGATTTTATGGATTAATACATTTTCGAACAAATATATTGAACACATTTAATTTATCACTCGCGTTCTCGCTCGATCTGTATCGTACTCATGCGCTCACTGCATCTAGCACTGCCAAGAATACTGTTTGCGCTAGATCATATTCGTGGGTGTAAGTCCAAACCTTCTATGCCGTATATCTCAAAAATGGTCCACACGGAGTGCTTTAACGAAAAGATCCTTGTCGAAAGCCTTCGTCTTCCACTTCCGGTTCTAAAGTTCGACGGACTGCAAAAAGTGACGTCGATAATGGATTCCCGGCGATCTCTGCGAAAAATGCTGCTGGTGCCTTCGTTGGACAGCATAACTTACAGCCTTGACAGAGCTTCCAGCAGACTGTTCCCTCTTGCATTGGAACATCTACTTCCCCACTACCGGTCTTCGTCCGATCAGCTCTTCGGTAAGGCCATCCAGCATCTCAGGGAACTGCTCCATCGTCCCACTCGGGGGTGCGCAGCAACTCTATTTGAAGATTTCGTTAATTTTGGCGATCACGAAACTTCCGTATGAGCTTTTTGAATGTGGTATCTGCCCATAACGTTTATTGCAGCCATCCCTGCTTTATATGCCACTGAGTTACCGTTATTGGGAGGGACTCGATACAGCTCCGCAATGCTTGCAACGTCGCACTTTGTTTCTGTTGTCGACTGCCACAACAGTTACTGTTCAGTGTCGCAATGATTGATGTCTATTTGGGTAACCTCCATTTCTGTTAGCCTGCCATCGCCTATTTGTATGCCAGACATTTGAAGCCAGATCATGCACCTTGGTTGCTTCGTGCAGCCTCTTGCAATGTGACCTATCTCTCCACATTTCCTGCAAAGATCAGATCTGTCAGAGCCATTGCAGTTCGTCGCCTGGTGACCGAAACCCATGCGCTTGAAGCATCGCTCCAGTTGCTTGGTAACCCGAGGAGTAGCTTTCAGCGAGTAGTTTGTAGTGATCTCGTCCAGATCCCTGCACTGTCCACCACTGTATCCTGGGCTAGAGCTCTTAGGCTCGTCCCTTCGCCAAGAGACTTTTCGACGAGCTCCTTGAAGGTTGAGCTCTTGTTCTAAGGATCTTTCTTCAGCTCAAGAGCATATCGCCTTTCTGGTAGTGCTGGGACTCGTATTATCCGGATATTTTTTTTTTAATTTTATTAAATTATGGCAATTAACAGATCTGCCATTCCACAAGAGGGTAACATGGGAAACCTAGAGTCAGTGTATAATGAGTCACGCCAAGAGTGAAGCCAAGTCTACCTATTGAACTGTCAAACCAGCTACCTATCGTGCAAAGTAAACAAGCATTACGATGCTATGAAAGGTCCACGAAAGGTATTGCAATTAAATATAAAATATAATCGAAGAAATGATCATAAACACACAGTGAGCATTTACATTTGTCATGCGATACGTTTTGTAATGGTCAGTAATGAGAATTTCTACTGTTTTTCGTTAAGATAAATTGACAAAATCACTAATTTAATGATGCACTACAGTCGTTATTTTTTTTCCTCGCTAGAAGTCATTTTAAGTTGATGCAGAAGTCCTCTGTTGCCAAGTGAAAAGAAAGGGAATCTTTCGAAAACCGAGATGCGAGTTGAACTGTTTTTCTCTTGGCGTGACTCATTATACACCGACTCTAGAAACAACTTTTTGACAAATATTTAGAACAGTAAAAAAGAAAACTGTTAAAGGAGGAATAAATTTGAAATTTCACTATCCGGATATCCGGATAGTTACTATTCGCATGATAACCATCTCAACGTTTTCTCAATTAATTTTATTTCAATATTGGGCACTAGAAAACATGATATTCTGTGTACTGAATATCAATTCAACGATATTTCATTTGTCTGAAAGTAATTTTATTGCAAAAAAAAACCGAAGTGTCCGGATAGTTGAGGTCTCAACTCTACTTTCTGGGTACACCTGGTTTTCACCACGTTCTCTCCTAGTTCCTTCCATTCCGGATCCTCTCGAACCTTCCGGAGGAGTGCTGCGTACGTCGTTTTGTTCTTTGCTTCAACCATCAGAGCATCGCCCTTACTTCGCTTCTGACGAAGCCTGTATTTCTCCTTGTTCTGTTCATCTTTCTTCTTCACTGCTTTTCCCTTCCATTTTTTTCACTTCTCCTTCGGCTTCTCGACGGTTGTTCTTGAGTTTTTTTTTTGAACTCCTCTTGCTATCCTGGAGTTTCCCTTTTCCTCTTATCCGAGCGTGAATTTCGTTGCTTTCTCCTCGGCAGTCCCGGCTCTCGTCCTCAGCGCAACCTGTTCACGTTCGGCAGCAATCGTGGCGGATTTGATGCCCGTCACCATTTCTTTTATTGTCTTGTGGACGTGGCTTTTATCCTTGACGAAGTCATGGAGTTCATTGATCCCCCTCCTGACCTCCATCATGTTGGTCTTCCCAAGCTGCAGTCCTTTTGGATTTCGGTGTGAACATCTGAGACATCATTCAAGAAGGTGTCATCCTTCTTTACTCTTAGAATAGCACGACTGTCAGCCCTGTAGCGTGGTATCCAATCCAGGCCGAGTCGTGTCCATTATTCCATGCCGTGTCCAGTATGCCGTAATAAGGAGCTTACTGGCGTCGATCCCAATGTACCGGGGTCACTCCTGTGGGTTGACGGAGCATTTCCTCTCTATCGTCGTGCTATGGTTACCGCACCAGTTTTTGCTCCGCACCTCCCCCACCTCCCCCCATGGGTTAGGAACATGTGAGGCCCAGAGCTAGATAAGCGCTCCTTCCAGGTGTCTGCAACGGTAAAATGATACAAATATGGTGCATTCAGTGGAACATTTTCCGCTGTCAAAGTGTTTCGACTGTTTTAATCAATGCGCAAATACGAGTGGCGTGATAAGATAAATGCGATAAAAGTCCACAAATAGCAGTCACAGGAGAATTGAGGGGCGAACACGGGAATTTGCAGATAAGATATCGTGCGCATATCTCCGAAAGTGATACATGCGAACTGAGCATGGCTCAAAGTATTTCAAGCTCTGATTCAAGAATTCAAGGAAGTTTTCCCCTTTGCAAAGTCGATTCACTCGTACTCAGTTCTACGAATTACTATTCTAATAATATGTCATTACTCATCTCGACGAACACTTCCATCATTCATGGTTGTTTGGTTCTACTCGATGGCGCGGATGACACGTGAGCCACATTCGCAATTCAAAAAGCGATCCATTCTCATGACCTGTTCACTATATAGAGAGTCTACTATTAGTCTTTCAACTGTGGCACATTCTACCCTACTAGACAATACCGACGCGAGTGCGATAAACTTGCTAATTCAATTAGAATTTAAATCTTTGAAAGACGTGGAGTGGATAGGTCCCGCTGCAAAAGCACGTGCCCATCACGGTTGATCCATACCAACAGGTGTGAACTCACACTCATCATCGTTTTCTAACCAGAAAATCGAGATGTTCATTTTACATCCCCTTCAGTGATTTGAATTTTATGAGTTTTGAAATAATATTTAAATTTATTAAAATGAGAATCAAGTTATTGAACCTACATACATACTAATCAAATAATTTTATTAACTTTCCAGTTGCTGGCCCTGTTTCTGGATTCCATATGTGATAGACTCGTGCAAGAATGCCAACCACTACTGTCCCAACTGCGGTGCCTACATCGGAACATACCGGGGATAACTTTCGACCAAGCCTATCGAATAATTTTGGAAATGAGGGACGAACTATGATATCATCAGTTGATACACAACATCGAGAATCACAATTAGAAAATCGTACCGTGACACCTAAGACACGGTATTTTGCATTTAAAAGCACACTGAGTTCGGTACGAGCCCCTGTGAAAAGATTGATATGAATTTTATGTGTAGAACAATTCAAGTCTGGCAACTTACAACAATCAGTGTGAGAAATAATTGTTAAAGTTCACCCTAATTCCACAAAATAAAAATTGGAAAATGTATAAATACTTCAGTGACGATCTACAAGTATAAATTACACGTAATCAAACAATTTCAATTTGGTGGACATGAAAGCCACATGATAGCTGTGTTATGTATTAATAGAGTAATGCTGGTAAATAAAAAGCCATATTTAAATGAACTGGGTCATATCATGTATCTCGCTGAATGACCGGATTATCTTAATTTTTCCGAAAAAAAAAAACCGATAACCATCAAGTACCTTTACAAACCACCCCAATTATGGAGCTCTGAGTGTGGCACCCAATGTTAATAAATCACTTAGGAATCAAAGAAGTCGTTAAATGGTAATGCTTCAACACGTTTTGTTTTTTTCTGATGGGGTTGTGTCATTTCGCCGAAGGACATTTCGCCGAACGGGTCATTTTGCCGAATTTCAATCAGGAATCAATATACAATTAAAATGAATTTGGAACGCATTCAAATAAAAGCTATAATAAAGTAATCCTATTGATGTTTGTGAATGCTATTGCTAGAAAAGGAATAAGAATTAGAATATGCATTGGATAAGATATTTGAATAGATCGAAATGCTTGTTGAAATGAGCTAAATAAAATTTTAATTCAAGATCTGCCTTACAGCCGATAACACTAGTTTCAAGTTTTTATTTAAGAATAGACACCAATATTTCGTCTTGGAAAAAAGAATTTCATACAATGAAAGTGAAGCTTTGCCAAAATAAGGAACGACAGTAATGGTTAAATGTTTTGAACAAACTTTCAAAAATAAAATGCTGGTGGATGGTCAAATGACTAGTGACCAATTCCACGCCAAATCGGTCAGTCACCAAACTTGACTATCTTCGATCTGGATGATACTTGGCACATATTTTCAGTATGATAGACCAAGTATTTTCCGCAGGAGAGGAGACCCTTTTGACTCAAGGGTAATTTTTGAAAAGGGGCGATGTGTTTTTGCACACATACTTAAAAAAAATGTAGTTCGAAAACAGTTGGTTGTAGAAAAAAATTTACTAAAAAGAAGTTGTAGGAAGCTAATAAGGCTCGTTTTTTTTACAAAAAAATAAAAATAAACCTCAAAATTCAAAAAACAAAAAAAAACGTATTTTTGATTTTTTTTTATATTTTTTTAATAAAAACTTGAATAGAAAGCAGAAGTTCTAAAAACAACTCCAGGATGGACAAACTTTTAATAAAAACGTTTTTCTAAGAGCAACTTTTGAGGCATTTTTGAAACTTTCATTATTTACGGCAAAATGTTAAGTTTGATGTCAGTATATGATTATAAAAATCATTTCTAACGATAGTGCTCAAATCGATAAACTTCCTAAATATAACCGTTTTCGAGATATTTCAAATTTACTTTCATCATTATCATTTTTTTTTTGTATAAAATATGCCCTTTTCCTAAGTTATACGTGATTGTCCATCAAATATGATAAGTTTTGCAAGATATGCAAGTACGGTAACCAACTTGAATTGGACCCCTACCTATTTTGGACCCTTTTCATATATTTTCCTCGCTTACTGTCTAGTTTCTTCAAATTCATCTGGGTTGATGTTGTAATTACATTCTTTCAATTACTTGCTATGTCTCAAGATTATTAGTTCACCTCAAATTGCTTACAATTGCTCAATTTAAGCAGTTTTAGAAAATGTTATCGAAAAAGTTTCATGTTTCGACGTTTGTCAAGAGGAATCGGCGTTAGTGTACTTGTTTTAAATTTGGGCAAAATATACAATTCAATGATTTTTTTTTATCAAATCAGTTTATCTGACTTTGGAAGATGTATTTCACGTGTTTATAAAGATTTCACCTTAAGATTTTACTTAAAAAGTATTAATTAAAAAATGTCCAAAAAAGATCGTAAAAAAATGTTACCAACTTATTTTGGACACTTATCAAATGAGAATCATCAAAAGAGCGACAAAAAAAATTCCGGTTGGTCGATCGTGCTATTATCTCAGATTTCTGATTAAATTGGTAAGTAAATCAATCAAAATTATATGAATTCATTGTTTTTAAATATATTTCTTGTTTATCAGGCGATTCAAAATGGGAAAAACGGCAAAACACATAGAGTGGACCACTCTGAGTTTTCCTAGTTCCTAGTTTTCCACAAAAGTTTTCCTATCTCCCAAACGCATTTAACTAAGGGGCTGTTCATAAACTACGTAGACGCTTTAGGGGGGTTAGAGCGCTTGGCAGATGTCTACGGTCCATACATTTTTTTAAAAATCTCTCAATAATCGTCTACGTAGTTTATGAACAGCCCATACAAAAAATAATATGGACTGCAAGCATAGAGTCAGGTCTCCGTATTAAGATTTACTTCTGAATGATTTTTTTTTATGGTATGATCAGTTGTTTCCTTTTGTTATATTATATTTCCTCCGTTACTCACGCCAACTTTTGTAACACGAGTACTCACGCGTTGTACTTTGTACAACAGTGTGAGTTTTCCATTTCCATTTTGCAGCCGAGCTACCAATCGATCTGAAATCAACGAGTATTCCTCAAAAAACTTGCTTTTAACTAAACAAGCTAAATATTTATTAGAGTTAACCCCCAAAATATGCGGATAATAGAGAAAATGTAAATGGAAACCGCGTAAATGGTGTCCATACTACGAGGGTTCTGACTTAATTGGTTACAACATGGAATATCTCGAGATCCTGACCAGTTAGAAAGTTACTGTCTTTGCCAAAGTAGTTCTAGAGATCATAACCTTTTTGCTGGTGGACAGTAGTTCAAAATTTACTCACTACATAGCGCTAGTATACATGTGAAGTTCTCGCATGTGATATATCTCGAAATCCTGACCAGATAGAAAGTTACTGTCTTCGAAAAAGTTGTTCAGGAATTCAAAGCCTATAGTTCAGAATTTTTTCACTATATGGTGCTAGTATATACGTGAAATTCTCATATAAAATATCTCGAAATCCTGATCATATAAAAAGTTACTGTCTTCGGCAAAGTTGTTCAGGAAGTCAAGGCCTTTTTGCTGGTGGACTTAAGTTCAGAGTTTTCTCACTTTGCAACGCTAGTATACATGAGGAATTCTCGCATATAAAATATCTCTAGATCCTGACCAGACAGAAATTTACTGTCTTCGGCAAAGTTGTTCAGGATGTTAGGATCTTTTCGTTGGTGTACAGTAATTCAGAATTTTCCCTTTACGTGGCTCTAGTATGCGGGTCATTCAGAGATATTTTATATGCAAGGATTTTACGTGTCTTTCAACGTCACCTAGGGAGAAAATTATGTACTTTCCACCAACGATAGGGTTTGATCTCCTGGACAACTTTGCCGATTACAGTACATTTTTAGCAGGTCTTGAGATATATCATATGCGAGAATTGCACGTATATACTAGTACCATGAAGTGAAATATTCTGAACTACCGTCCACTAGCCAAAAGGCCTTGATCCCCTGAACAACTTTGCCCAAGACAGTAACATTCTATCTTGTCATGCTCTCTAGATATTTTATATGAGAGAATTTAACGTGTATACTAGAACTACATAGTGAGAAAATTCTGAACTATTCTACACCAAGCAATAGGCTTTGACCTCCTGAACAACTTTTTCAAAGACTAACTTTCTATTTGGTCAAGATCTCGAGATATATCATATGCGAGAAGTGTATATGTATACAAACGCCACGTGGTGAGAAAACTCTGAACTACTGTCTACAAGTCGAAAAGTCTTGACCCCCTGAACAAGTTTGCCCAATACAGTAACTTGTAACATGTGCATCAAACATGTCAGCAACTTCCCACGCTTGCTATATTTGCTGGTCTCATAAGTGGCACCATGCCGCGACGAGACAAGCTATTCCAAAAAACCTTTTTCAGTCATCGAACCCATTTGAGCAATGCAATGCATAAATGAGTTCGATGAATTGAACGAAACGCATTCAGCAATTCTCACCAAAAGGCAGAAGTGTCAAATAACACTTTGGTTCATTCTTTCCCACTCTTGGTATCGATCACCAACGATCGAGTAAATAGCGAAAATACATAGTGGCTTCAAGTGTCTCCATTCTCAGCACCATATGTAAAATATTGTTCAATAAAACATTCTTAGTTTAACTTTCGAAGCGAAAGGTTCGTTTTTAGTAACTGCAATATCACGTCATGAAAACGTCAAATGGCGAAATAGTGAAAACGTTAAATGGCTACCTGTGAACAGGGAACAGCCTTCTCCAAGAAGAACCAAAAATCGCAAATGTGTTGAGTGAATTGTTTGCTCAAAAGACAATCAAATCAAAAGTGCGCAAAATTATCCATGCTCGAAAAGCACAGAGTGTGCCAAAACTGCACTTCAAATACAGACCGTTTTTTTTTTTGGTCTTGCCAGTGACTATTAGTTCAGCTAAAGGATGGAAAAAGTGCAAAGTTCTTTCGGGCCATTTTTTCGGCCTTAAAGTGAAAAGCAATGGGAACAAAGCCGACCGATGTAATTAATTATCAAAGTGATTTTTTTTATAATTCGGCAAAGTGGCTGGACTTCGAACAATCGCAGTGAAAATTCGGAATGGTGACAGTGAAAGGTTAAAAATTACTATATCAAGTGAACATGGGAAACGAAAAGTCGTCCCCAAAAGTACAGAATAATGGTGATAAGGACACCACCATCATAAACAATCAAGAGTTCCATACGGAACTTCATGTGGACCATTCTAAGAAATTATGGTATATTACCATAATACTTACAATACAGATGCTCATAGTAGCATATAAAATCATACAGAAAAACATAAAGAAAAAAAATACTGCAAAGAGTTTCTAAATCAGTAGGCAGTGTGGAACATGTATGACTTTTAAAATGTGAACTGTGTCGTGTCAGTGAACTTTTAATTCGAGCGAAGTTACTGTAGAACAAAATAACGAATATGATCTACCATCATCGTCCAAAGCAGCAAAAGTGCGCGAAACAAATATTG